AACCAACGGCGCTTACACGGACCAACAAACACCCCACAAACCACACAACCCTGCAAATCAGTCTTAAAATCTACTCCTCTAAGTAGCAAACCGTTCCCACTGAGGCCGGGAACACGTGGACTTACGTTCACTCGGGTAGTTAATACCCATAAGCACTTCCTCTGTGCAAGGTGCTGTGTGACCCCGTCACACTTGGTAGCACTCGTAGTCAATCCAACACCATCGCGGGTAGATTGAGATACCTGAATCCTCTGTGCGCTCAACGTTTGAGCCAAGATGGACCGGAGCGAGTTTCCTCGCTTGAACGACTCACAGTACGAGTCTGTTCGGAAGATGGGAGGCATCTTTGGACAAGATGTCCTTCGCAGCTTGGCGGCGGCGACGCCTGCCGAGCAACAAGAGCGCGTGACCGCGTTTGAGACCTACGAGCGTGGTCTCATCGCTCACGTCCGCGGGAGCTTGGAGGCCACGATGACCGCTCCCCAGGCAGCCAGGCCTAAGCCGGTGTGGCTGAAGGTCCCCGCGTTTGAGGGGAAGGAAGGAGAGAACCTTCACTTCTGGGTCCGTGAGGTTGAGATCGCCATGAAGGCGGGTCTCATCTCGGACGAGCCAGTTCGGGTGGCGTTTGCCCTGTCCAGCCTTGGTGGACGTGCCAAGCACTGGGCATACACCAGGGAGACGACATCTCCTGGATGCTTTGCATCCTGGGCTCAGCTGTGTGAGCAGCTTCGAGCCGCGTTCCTACCGGCGAACAACGAGTTCCGCCAGCGCTCACGCTTTCTCGCGTGTAAGCAAGGTAAACGTGAGCTGCAGGAGTACGCGCAAGAGATGCGCACGTTGGTGGCATCTCTGGCAGGGAATCGTCTGCCTGAAGACGTCAAGACAACAGTCTTCATGGACGGCCTGAAGGTCGGTCCTGCTCGCACCCAGCTATTCCGGGTGCAAGCGACAACTATGGAGGAGGCGATTCGAATCGCCCTTCAAGAAGAGTACAGCCACAAGCAGGCTGGTACTCCTCGGGAAGAGGAACATCGCCACGATGAGAATGGCGTTCCTCGGGAGGCGGAGCATCGCAGCAATGACGCCGTTGCTCCTGCTGTCACGCAGCTCGTTGGTACCGGTGCGTACAGCGAGCCCGAACCCATGGACTTAAGCTCAGCCGAGAGCTTGGTCCGCTGCAATGGATGCGGCGGACATAGACACTACCAGCGTGTGTGTCCCTCGCTAGTCCTCGGAAGGAAGACGGTTCGTGGGCCCTAAGTCCGGTGGCGCAGGCCACGGCCAGGTGGACGAAGACTCCCCGGCCACCAGTAGAGGCAGTATGCCCTAGTGAAGAGCGCTAAGTCTTCGTGATGGGTGTGCAGGTTGTGCGCACCACGGGACTTAGCCCAGATAGACGTGGCTCTCTCAAACCGGTGAAGGGCAGTGATGGGCTGCTGGTAGTACACTCGGTGTACGGGGGTACGGTACCCCTTGAACGTTGGATGACTTCTGGGGCGTTGATACGCCACCGGAACGTCGCTTGGCATAGCGACATCCGACTGCACTCTATGTCAGCGTGGCGGTCGTGGGCTGGTCCTTGGTGGACTAGCCTTTGGTACGGTGAAGGAAGTACCAATGGTCCTCAACGGACCTGAACGTTTCGGCTCGATGGACTCGCGCACCGCGGTGTCGCTCGCAGTTCTCGCCATGAACAACATGGCTGTGCCGACCATAAGGCACAGCCCGGACTTTGGTGGGGCAAGGCTGAGAAGGGCCTACCAGTCCAGGTCTATGACGGAGCATTGGCGAGTCATGTTCCCACCTCCGTCATGACTGGGGCGTCTGATACAGACCGCCAGGACGCAGAAGCGTCACGGAGCTGTCAACGCACCGACAGCTCTGCGTACAGCAAGACCATGCTCCGCTGCGGCAATGCCGCAGGCGTGGGTCTTTTGCCCGGCGCGTGAACCTACTACACCAGCAGCATCCAACGCCGAAGGTCGTTGCGCCGTACGGGCTTCGACAGTGGTTATGCCTTTAAGCGCTAACCAGATGGGTAACTTAGGACCACACGGTCGCCCAGACCTTAACTGAAGAGGAAGGCGCTGAATGCGCTTCCTGTGTGGATAACACAGTACCACACGCAGTCACCCAGACTATAACTGAAGAGGAAGGCGCTGAATGCGCTTCCTGTGTGGGTAACACAGTACCACACGCAGTCACCCAGACTATAACTGAAGAGGAAGGCATTGTCCATGCTTCCTGTGTGGGTAACACAGTGCCACACGAGGTCTCGAGTGCCTCTGATGTCGTCAATGAGACATCACGACGTGGGTAACAAAGTGCCACGTCACGTTAATCGCCGCAAGTCGGGTCTGAACCTTGTTCAGGCCGACGTCGCTTCAAGCGACTCGGGGTCCAGGGCCCGGACGCCTCTGACTCGGTCGGTGGACACCAACTCTGTCCGATGTGTGTGCGGGTCTGCCACGTCAGCTGATCCCAACACCGAAGGTCGTCGCGCCGTATGCGCTTCGACAGTGGTGGTGCCGAAGGGCATTCACCAGGTGGGTAACATAGGGTCCACATTGCGGGTAACAAGTTCCGCAAGCAGCGAAGCTGCTTAAGGAGACCGACATTCGGTGCTCCGAGCGTGGGTAACAAAGTTCCACGCAAGGTCACTCAGACCATAACTGATAAGGAAGTCGCTATGCGCTTCCGGTATGGGTAACAGAGCTCCACACAACCAAGGTGGGTAACATAGCTCCGCGCACAGAGCCATTGGCTCGAGGCGCGAGGTTGTCTTGGCCTCGCCAGACGTGAGCAACTCGCTCGACGTCAAGTCGCGCGGACTCAAACTGCTGACGCGAAGGCTGGGTGCCTTCGGTCGACACGGCCGACGCGGTCGTCCATACCGACGCAGTGCACAGGACGGAGAGCCGTCACACCTGCCAGTGGCTATCACAAGCCACGAGAGACTCAATAGTCTCAAGTGTAAGTGGGGGAGAGGCTCGGAAATACCTTTCCTCCCTGGACTTGAGGTAAGACCAAGTTCCTTACGGAACCAGGCGTCGATGTACATCGACCGCAGGCTGGAGGCGAACAGCCGGGCTAGAGCTGTGGTAGCCCTAGCCAAACAGGACATAGTGACGAAGAAAGCCACTGGCGCAAGGTGCCTCGGAATCGCTGAGCAAATTAGCAGTGTTGGGGTTGCAAGCAACCACACACGAGGCGAAGCGCGGGCCTAGTGCAATCAACGCACTGGTCCCTTGGTCATGAACGACCTGTCAAGTAGGGTGAACGGAACGTCTCACCCGCCGACAAAGCGGTTGCGGTACGTGCTATAAGCAACGCGCCGGGTATAATGGGCCGTGGAGCCATAACCCAAGTGTGGGGAGTCGAGCACAGAGTCGAGCACTGGATCAAACGCGCAGTGGACGAACGCGCCTACGGAGGCTCCAACGTTTGCGTCTGCTTCGGGATCGGGTGCGGAGTCGAGCACAGAGTCGAGCACTGGATCAAACGCGCAGTGGACGAACGCGCCTACGGAGGCTCCAACGTTTGCGTCTGCTTCGGGATCGGGTGCGGAGTCGAGCACAGAGTCGAGCACTGGGTCTAACTCACAGTGGACGAACGCGCCTACGGAGGCTCCAACGGTTGCGTCTGCTTCGGGATCGGGTGCGGAGTCGAGCACAGAGTCGAGCACTGGATCAAACGCGCAGTGGACGAACGCGCCTACGGAGGCTCCAACGTTTGCGTCTGCTTCGGGATCGGGTGCGGAGTCGAGCACAGAGTCGAGCACTGGATCAAACGCGCAGTGGACGAACGCGCCTACGGAGGCTCCAACGTTTGCGTCTGCTTCGGGATCGGGTGCGGAGTCGAGCACAGAGTCGAGCACTGGGTCTAACGCGCAGTGGACGAACGCGCCTACGGAGGCTCCAACGTTTGCGTCTGCTTCGGGATCGGGTGCGGAGTCGAGCACAGAGTCGAGCACTGGGATCAAACGCGCAGTGGACGAACGCGCCTACGGAGGCTCCAACGTTTGCGTCTGCTTCGGGATCGAGTGCGGAGTCGAGCACAGAGTCGAGCACTGGGTCTAACTCGCAGTGGACGGACGCGCCTACGGAGGCTCCCAACGTTTGCGTCTGCTTCGGGGATCGGAGTGCGGGAGTCGAGCACAGAGTCGAGCACTGAGGTCGAGCGCTGGATGAAACCACAGCCGGCGAACGAAAGCCGCCAACCGATGGGTCCACGTGTCGGGTCCTGCTTCGGGATCGGAGTGCAGGAGTCCGAGCACAGAGTCAAACACCTGAGTTGGAACGAG